ATATATATATATATATATATATATATATATATATATATATATATATATATATATATATATTGCAGTTATGTCCAGCACTGTTCCGGGCCCTTTACAAAGATCATCTCCCTCGTTTCTGGATGCCTATGAAATAGGCATATTATTTATTACACTACTGGTGAGTTATCTGTGTCACAGACTGGAGCAGGTGCTCTCATACGGTCACGTGGCCAAGATGTAGACGCAGGCTTCTTGGACACATACAACATCCATGCATACATGCATGCATACACACACACAAATAAAATAAGCAGGTAGAAGGGGTGGAAGGGAGATGGCGAGAGTCGTCCAGGGTCTGAGCCACTGGAGGCCAAGCTGTCACAAGAAGGAAGACAGCTCCGTTCTTGTTGGATTCAGAAGCCAGTGGAAAGCACGGGAAACATTTGGGAAAGTGCACAGCCTGTGGGAGGTGGGTTTAATGCAGGCTGCTGAAGCCCATGTGAGATGGCCTGTCGCAGCACTCCCTGCAGGTTAAAGAGTACATGCGAGAAATAGAAGAACCTTGCACACTTTCGAGGCCAAGTTTATATAGGGTTTGCTGAGGGGCTGGGTGACGGGCGCAAGAAAATAGAGATGCCTCCTTGGCATGAGTATGCTTGGGATGCAGACGCCAAACCTGGGCAGGACATCAGAGCAAGCCACTGTCCCTATCTGTGGTGGGTCACCAGGGCTATGTGGAGGAGACACAGTGCTGAGGCAAACACAGAGTAGACACATGGCTGGCTATAACAGCTATGGCTGAGCACAGGACCCCAGTGAGAGAGGTGCAGGGCACCAAGGCAGGGGAGGAGTGGTGAGCTCAGTGTCTAAAAAGATCGGAGGAATCCGTGGAACCATCATTACTCATTCAGCAAACATTTACCATAGACCTACTGTGCGCCAGGTATCATCCTACTAGCTCGGCTCTTTGTTCCACTAAAATTAACATGGAAAAGCAAACAGGACAGCAGGGCAGTTCTTGCGTGAGAGAGGAGGCCCAGAGCCCAGCAACTCAACCTTAACTGCTCAGGGAGTAGCCTAAGATTCAGTTCATCTTGAGGAGACAGCCATACGTTAAGGACAGACAGAATTCTTCCTGGGGGAACAGATAGAAGTCTTCCTCATGAAAATAAGCAGGGGCCACAAACCACCCTTGGCAAGCACAGGAAAAAGTGCAACTGTGTGCTACAAGGTCCATATCCATGAACCCAGGGTACACAAGGGCCCAGAAGTGAGTCACAAGATTTTCAGATGTGAGGAAGTGTACTACTTCCTTAGCAGCACTGAGCGATCGGAACCTCCTCCCCTACCCCGAACCAGCTGACCCCAGAAGATAAGAGGTTCAGACTGGGGTGGCCTCAGAAACTTTGTGCTTCTTCACCCTTCTCTGTGTTTACCTCTCACCCATCCTTACTAAAACAAGAGAACAAAAAAGGCCTTTTGAAGATTCTGATGCAACAACTTTGCTCAGCTCCTCTCTGTGCTCTTTCAACAGATTTATTGGCACCCAGAATTTGGACAGCAACGAAGCAGACCCGGGAGATGTGTAGGAAGGGCATGGGTGCTTACCATAGATACATCAGGATGAGGGTGTGCTTCCTCAGGTTGGGAGTGCGAAACAGGTCGGCGAATGAAGGACTCAGCTTTTCCGAGACATCTTCCTCAACGCAGAGCATCTGGGAGAAACTCGGTTATCACTACACGAGGTCCACATTCACACTACAGTCTCCCAGGGAGAGGCCCCAAGCAGACCATGAGGCAGCCCCAACCCCACAAAGGGAAGAACTCCTTCTTAACTTCAGTACCTTCAGGTCAGCGGGAGGCAACTTCCCATTCTTCTCAGCAATGTGCTCCATTATCCTTACTGCTTGGGTGGTTTTCTTCTGGGACAACAGCCATCTCGGGGATTCTGGGACAAACCTGCGGACACAGCTCATAAATGCAGGGCATTTTCTCCAAGAATTCGCCTCCATCGAACCCTTGACAAGAGTGGTGCGGTGCGTGGCTCAGAGCAGCCCCAAATCCTTGGGTTGGACTGTGATTCACAAGACGCTTATGAAGATTGCATCCCCAAGATGCTGTGTGCCTGAGCTCTGTAGGTCACTGATACTTGAGGCCACTGGCTAAGATTCCCAAAGCAGAAGGGAGTCAGGGCTCCCCCTGAAGCCTTCTTTTTGTGAAGTGAGGTCCCATCTCTCCTAGAAATTGGGAGTCCTATTCCAGAGGAAATGCGCTGAGTAGGAGCTTCACATACCCTACATATATCGTGTGCATAGTAGGGCTGCTGAACAATGCCCATGCTATTTCCCATAGGGTTTGCTTGCCATCAAATCAGATAGACAGCATGCTGTTTCTTTTTTTCTCCTCTCATCTTTATTTTTCTTTCTCTTTGTTTTGAAATAGGATCTTATTGCTTCTGAGTTTTAGGCTAAGTTCTTGTGGAGACAGGGTCTCTGTATGTATTCCTGGCTAGCTTGGAACTCGCTATGGATGACTTTGGATCCTATGACAATCCTTCTGCCTCAGCATCTTTTACCCTTACCCAGACCCTGAGTGCTGAGTTTGCAGGCATGCATCACCACATCCAGTTTGAGCTCTGTTTTACATGGGACTGGAAAGTAGCAGCTCAAAGATGAGACTCCAATGCCATAGACTCCCCCTAGCTAAATGTCCATATATAGCCAGGGTCCTTTATGCCAGAAAGCTCCTTTTCACTCGGCAGGGAAGGGACAAGTTCCTCCCGGCCTCATCCACCCACACAGGTAACAGCTTCCATGGAGAGGCTGGATCTGGCCCAGTGTCCCTCATGGTAAGATTTGTCCTCAGCAAAGCTGGCAAATTCTGCAGGGGTGAGATACCTTTCGCTGCAGCGCCCTCTCCCGTGCACAGAACAGCCTAGCTCTGTCGATTTGCAAAGCACACACAGCTAATAAGATTGACACTTTAGGCTGGGCAGATGGTTGCACACCTTTAATTCCAGCACTAGGGAGGCAGAGGCAGGAGGATCTCTTGAATTTGAGGGCAGCCTGGTCTACAGAGCAAGTTCCAGGTTGGCCAGGGCTATGCAGGGAAATCCTGTCTTAGAAAAACAAAAAGATTGACACTTCCTTGGGGGTGTCCCTGTTCTGGAATGACTCAGTATGCAGCTTCCCCAGAGAGGGCTGCCAGTAGAGCCCTTCCATTCATTTATTTACCCATACGTTCTTTTAACTAAGGCCAAGTTCCTTATTGTGTAGCTAGATGAGATGCAGGACAGAGCCTCATTGATGGAGATACGGTGAAACAGGAAGTGAGACAGGAAGTGAGGAGACGAGGAGGGAAAGCAGGCAGCAAAGTGAGCCAACCTGACTTAAAGCAGTGTTGCTAGAGAGGCTCTGGGGAGTGCAGAATGTAGCGGCCATGGTAGTTAAGATCCCATTCTTGTCTGTCACCCAGCCCTAGATAGTGTATGAAGACTATCTCTAAGGTTTCCCAGGGCCTCTGGCAAACACTGGTTAGATACTGGCCCAGAGCTGCCTCCCTGAGGCCAGTCTCCCTGTGGTTGGCTTGGCTTTCTACAAGATGGGTGGGCCGCCTCTGTGCTTCCTTGTTGCATCAATCCTGTGTATCTGAGGGTGGGGTGAATTTGGACATGTTCTGTGTAAGGGCTCCTGAGCCCATACTGTGAGGAGCCCTGGACATATCAAAAGAACGGCATGCGTAGCATGTAAGCATCAGACCACAGGAGTAATAGTGCAGACTCTTGTCTCTTTGAAGGTGACCTTTGTAGTGGGAGAGGTCGGCACACAGCCCTCCATGCCCCGCCCCCCAGCCTAGCCCTGCAAGCAGACACAGCATGGAGCAGGAAGATCTTGCAGAGCCACCTAGTTCCTGGCAGGGGGACATTACCAGTAATACAGCAAGAAGAGGAAGGTAGGCAGGGAGACTGCCAGCTGAAGCCAGCGCCAGTTCGGAATGACGTAGGCCACCCCGGCGAGCCCCACTAGCCCCACTGTGAAGGCCACCTGGTACAGGATTGCCGTGGTTCTTCTGTAGCCAGAGCCGACAAACTCTGTGACTGGAGAAGAGACAGTGGTCAGAGGTTGTTCCCGGAAAAGAAAGACCTAGAGGGAGGCTTGCTCCCACCTCCTGCTTCTCCTCAACCTCCGGCCTTGCCTCACCCACTTCTTTCTTCATCTGTAGATTTTCTACTTCTCTTTCCCCTCTCCCAGGCCTAATGCCACTCAGTCAGGGGACTGAGGCTTATCAGGACAGCTTGTTGCCAGGTTTTCTCTTGCTTTCCTCTTTTTGCCTTCTTATTTGATATATATATATCCCCTGCCACGCTTCAAGACTCAATCTTCTCCTCCCCAAATATTCACAGAAGCTCCAGGCTGAGCTAGAAAATCTCCTAGGGTTCTGGTGCGTTCATGGACTCCACAAGTATTCTAGTGCTGGTACTGTTCTTGGGGTTGGAAGGCAAATGGAGCCTCTTGTTCCCAAACGGATCATATACACGTGGGAGACATACGAGAGAAAGAGAGAGATATCTTATCTACCTTGGTGACCCTACCCTCTATCAAACACTGAGTGGAATGTGACACTCCCTGGTGGAGACAAAGTAAGAAAGAAAAAGGAGGGAAGCGCGGGCAGGGGTGGTGAGCTCTGAGTGAAGAGGGACTGCAGTTCTACACAGGATTGGTGGTCATGTGACTGGATGGAGCAAAGTCACTAGTGATGGGAGCAGCTTCACCTCACAGATACTGCAGGACAGCAGTCCTGGTGCAAAGATGCCATAAGGTGCGGTAAAGCAACCATGCAGAGAGCCAGGTAGTGGGATGAGCAGGGTACAAAGGCAGAGAGGTAAAGCTGAGTTAGGGAACAGCAGGAAATCCTGGAGGCCTTGCAGGGTGCTAGGAGAACTTCCATCTCAGTGTGGCACCATGGGCAGCAGAGCAGGTCCACAAAGGCTCCCTAGGTTGAGGAGTTGAGAACCAACTCTGCACGAAGCTAGGAGGTATCCATGGAGACGAGGCAATGGTAGGGCCAGGACCAGTGGGTTTTTATGGAAATATTTTGAAACTGAAGCCACTAACAAGATTCACTGAAGGAATAGGGTGATTGATAGAGGTGGTGATGGAAGGATGGGGCTTGTGGTGTATGTGACTAAGGAGGGTCCACAGATGGAACCTTGGAGTGGCAGAAGGGCAATGTCTTGAGGTCTTGCCATATTAAGTGGTCAAGAAAGGAGACTGAGAAAGAGCCACTGGTGAGCAAGAGGGGATGGGTAGAGTATCCTGGTGCCAACAGAAGCTCCAGGGGACAAAAGTCTCCTGAGACTTCTATCACACCCAGCTAAATCCACACTGGCATCTGTTTGTAAGCCCCTCTCGGGCCTTGAGATCCAAGGAGGTGGAGGGACATCTTATCAACCTTGGTGCCCTGGCCCTCTATCACAGTGCCTAGAATCAGCACCAGCGATGTTCACAGACATGGCACTGCTCTGGGCTGACTGGATACCCAGTAACATGCCTACTTCTCAAAACAAGCCCCAGGATGAAAGTGACATTGTTATCCTCATTTCCAAGAGACTAAATCACAAACCCTACAGCTACACAGACCTGGAATGTGGATTCAGCTCTGAGCTGCCCGTCTTAGTCACTCATTATCAGTAAACAGGTGTCACAGACCAGTCTGAACTACCTGAACCTCACTAGTGAGTCATTATTTCTCAAGGCATAACCCTCCTTTTGTCCCCGTATCTAGATATCTCGTGTCTGTCTAGGTTTTCATCAAGTCAATTGTGTCTGTAGCCTGGCATTGGAGGAGCTGTGAATTCTTTCTACAACATTAAAATATTCGTCTTCCTATCTCATTTTCTGCACCTCCTTCTTCTCCCTTCATAAAGCATGACTGCTGAGAAAAGGATCTTATGCCTACACAATAACAGCTCTAGTTTATTTCTCTCTCTCTCTCTCCCTCTCTTTTCCCCCCTCTCTCTCTCATCCAACTGCCTCCCTTTCCCTAGACCCCACAAACATCCCCTGCTCCCCAAACCTTCATATTCACATTTGACTCACCTTGCTGTACCCCACTACCTCATCCCTCTCTTTCGTGGACCCAGGAACACCACCCACTCCCCCCCCCCTTCAGCCCTTGTGTAATTACTCAAGGTGTAGCCGGACACCCAGCTGCCCTTGCTGACCATGCCCTGCAGCAGGCGAAAGAGCAGCATGGAGATATAGTCTTGGACCACAGCTGTCAGCACGCCTGACAGGGAGGTAATCAGAGTGGTCAGCAAGAGGCTCAGCTTACGGCCAAACCTGCAGGGACAAAGAAGTGTAAGAGAGAGATTAAGAATCTGAGGCCAAGCCTGCATTTACCCACTTGCCTACCTGACAGCCTTCTTGTGCACCTCATAGACCATGGAGATACAGCTCCAAACTCCAAGTGTCTAAGTTAGAATGCCTACCTCTGGCATGAGCCCAGGCCCACAAACAGATGAGACTTGGCTGGTTGCAAATCAAAATGACCCATGGCCACCTCCTTGCTCAAAGCCCCGCTTCTCTGTCCAATCTGCACACCCTCTCCACAAATGCCCAGCTTCTCTGCCAGCAGCCCTAGTAGCCTGAAGCCCCCAATGTCATATCTTGTCTGCACCATCCTCTGCAACAGATCCTGGCCAGCCACACCTCACCCTTGTCCATTCTCCAAAGTCTGGCTCAAATGGACCGCCTTCACATACCTGTCTGCAATGTAACCCACCACCAGGGAGCCCGCGAAGAAGCCCAGGTTCACACAGGACTGAAAAAGGTCCACTTTCCAGGCGTCTCCACACACCAGGTTAAACTGAAGCAGTGGAGAGAGAAAACAGCTGAGAATCGTGGGAAAGCCGGAGCCCTACTCCCAACCTCTGCCAGACAGAGCAGACTGCCGCACAGCTGATCTCCTCGGGCTGGAGGAGATCAGCCTCCTCTAAAACCTCAGCATAAGCCTAGACTGCCATGCCCAGCTTCTTTCCAAAACCTTTGTGTCTGTGAAGACAGCTGCTGTTGGCTTTGCCATTGATAGTTAGCTACCACCAGAGAATATGTCATTCGAAAAGAAGCAAGAACTCCTCCAAGGAGTCATGGCTGCCAGGAAAGCTCTCCATAGGGACATACAACCAAGGTCCAAGGAGGTGGCTCAGTGGGTAAAGAGTGCAAGTGTGAAAACCAGAGTTCAGATCCTCAGCGCCTGTGTGGAAAGAGCTAGGTACAGCAGTATACACCTAGAGCCCTAATGCTGGGCAGAGGACATGAGCAGCTCCCAGGGACTTACTGAGCGGCCAGGCTAGCCAAAATGGAGAGCAATGTGTGCAGAGACAGCCCCTGCCTCACACACACACACATACCACAGACCACATACACATACCACACACACATAATACACACACCCCACAATTACACATACATATACACACACACCAAACATACCACACACATATACACACACACACCACATACCACACACACAAACCCCACACCATACCACACACACACACACACACACACACACACACACACACACACAAAACCAGAGAAACAGAGCCAAGTACATAACAAAGGAAATGTAAATCCAGGCATGGTAGCTCACGCCTATGATACCAGCACTGAGGGAGTATAGACAGGAAGGTAGAGGCAGGAGACTCAGGATTTCACGCCTATCCCCAGCTACATAGTAAGTTCAAGGCCAGTCAGGGCTCCATGAGACCTGTATAAAAAAAAAAAAAATGCCGTGTTTTTCAGGGCATGTAGATATGATATACTTAATTGGACTAATTACTAAAGCTACTGTGAGCAGCCACAAAACAGAAGGACCCACACAGAGACAGGACATGGGGGAGCTAGGTTTATGGGCTCAAGTAGGAGAGGTAGCAGGAGTCTGGCGTGGGAAGAGCTGGTGGGTGGGGGGAATTGAGGAAAAGACAGAGAAAAAGGACATCCTTAGAAGGGCACCACTCTCTGAAGGCCCTTCCTGACCTCTGACGCTTTCCCTACAGGCTTTACAGCAGGCAGGGGAAAAAACAAAAACAAGAAAAAGAACAATCAGGGTGAGATAAGAAGAGAAGCTAGGCTGATTTTATTGCAACCGGTGCTGGATCGGGACTCCCAGACTCTGGCCATCTTTAAACACAGCACAATTTTGTAAAGAGGTATTCTGATAACAATTAACTCAGCCCCACATGCACCACAATTTAAGACGTGTTTACACTGAGAGTCTTTACAGAGCACATCTGGCTTCTTTCACGAGAATGGGAACTGTTGACTCAGAGATAACGCCCAAGATTTAGGGTCTTGGGAGACTGACTGAGGTAAACAAAAAGCCGGTGGGTGTTGGGAGAGTCCTGGCCCTGAGATAGCACAGGAGTCACTTAGCTGTAGTAAAGCACAAGTGACATCACTGATAAGAATGGGCTTTATGGTCTAAAAACGGTTCTCAAGATTTAAAAGGAAAGGGTCTGGGGTAAGTAAAAACAAAAATTCCGGAAGATACGGGCAGCTCCTGTCTCGTCAGACAGCCAGGTTATAAGACTACATCCTTCCTGACATTCCAGAACCAGCAGCTGCCGACCCCATTCTGCTGAAGAGGTGAACTGTCTGTTTAACTTTCCTAGCTTCTCCAGTGCTTATTTGTGTGTACAAGGCATTCTTTGCCCTCTGCACTAGTCCAAAACACAGGGTGATAGGGCATATTCTGAGCAGGGCTCCTCGGGCTGTGTAACAGCAGGTCACTGTCTCTTGAGAGCTAAGGCAGGCAGACAAAACAGACCCCCAGGAGGCTGGGCACTAGAGCTGCATAGAGCCTCTTGCCCTCCCCAGTGCTGGCACAGCTCTCCCTGCCCTCCTGCCCTCTCTGTCCTTCTGCTCTGCTCTGTGCTGTGCAGCCATGGCTGTAGCATACACTGTGAGATATGACAGCAACAAGTCCCTCAGCAACTCCAGGCCTGGTTTCCCAGTCGAAAGTATTCATACTGCGTCCCACCCCCACCCCCACCCCCCAGGCTGCTGTGAGCCCTGGAGGTAAGAGACTGGTAAATGATGAACCGTTTTAGTTTAAATGCTAAGATCTTATTAGCTCATCCCGTGATTCTAAGGCTGGCATAGGAGCTGTCCTGTCACAAATCTTAGAGACACTGTGCTCAGCTGGCTGAGGTGGTTGTGGCTGGCTCGTGCATTCTTTGACATGGCCCCTCTTTTTTCTGAAAGATTCATGAGATCGTGTGTTGCCGCTCAACACCAGGAAGAAAAAGCAGCCTTTCCACCTACCTACCGCCTGTGCCCAGACCCTGCTATCTGTCGCCCCGGGAGGTGACAAGCACCCACACAGTGTCACTCTTATTCTCTCCATCTATGCCAATCTAATCCACGCCTTCATGAGGAACATGTCTCACAACCATTCCGTGCGTCCCTCTGCAGCGCTGAGTCCTCTGGGTTTCCTTGTCCTGTGCCTTACCAACAGGACCACCAGGACAGACAGTCTTGAGTATTGACCAAGCATCCAAAGCCCTATATCTTCCTCCACCCAACCATCCTTCTGTGGCTCCACTCTGTGCCCTGTGACAATCTGTCACTAAAGTCACAGGAAAAGGGAAGGCCCTTGGGACCAGTGCCCCGAGGCCTCACTTTGATCCCTTCTTGGCCATTGTTGGTTTTCAATCTGATCTTTGCAAGTTAGTGTTGCTGTATGATGTTCTGTCCCCTTCCTTAAAGGTAGAGGTAGTCGCTCTACCATGGGACTGTGTACGGGTCCAGACAGATGCCATCCAGAGGAAGCCCACCATCTCGACTCAATCTCACCTTCCAATGCCACTGCTCCCTGATGGCCAACACCCCCTGAGCCTTGCCAGTGTCTATGCCTAGAGCTCCCAAACCCCACCCATCCATTGCAGTTTAGGCACATCTGTGCCCCTAGAGCAAGCCTGAACCTACACAAAAGGCAAGGTGGAGGGATTCCCGGGCCCATCTGCTATCCCTGCTGGGGTTGCACCGGGGGAGGCAGCTTTTCTAGTGCACAGCCTTCACAGTTTGCCTCATCAGAGTCTCCCAGGGCCCTTGTCCAAACACCCTTCCTCCGTGGGGTCTACCTCAATGGATCATGAATGCAAGTAAATTTGGGAAGTACCAACGTGGCCACCTCGGCTCACCCTGTTCAAAGGCTGATCCCTATTGCTCAATGCCTACAGCTGGTGGGGCAGGAGGCTGTGTGTGGCCTGGTGTGGGGCCTGCGGGGAAGCTGGGGCTCACGGGATGGGGAAGGGAAGTGAAAGCTAACAAGCATCTTATTTCTTCCCCCCGAGGAGCCTTATGAGCCCAATTCCCTAGTCTTGGGGTAGGACCTAAACAAAGGTCATCCATCTTACTCCCTAAAGCAAGTTCCAATGTCCAAGGCAGTGAGGAGTTAAAAATTAGTTCTGCAGAAATGAGTAACCATGCTTAGCTTCCGATCTCTGGGATAAGTACTGGGTCAAGGCTAGTTTGAAAGCAGACGAAGGGGAAAGTAAATGAAAGGAAGCCCCTGTCTAGTCTAGACCAGTCTCCACTGCCCTCTTGCCCTGCCAGAGCTGAGCTTCTTTTGTGCCTGGGCATGTAGGTGTTACATGCACATGTACTTGTTTGTGTGTGTGTCCACATATGTGTGTGCCTGCACACAGAGGCCAGAGGTGAACATTAAGTTCCTTCCTCTATCAATTTCCACTTTATCTTTTTGTGTGTAAAATGTATGTGTGTGTGTGCGCGCACATGTGTGTGACTGCCATAGTATGCCATAGTATACATGTGGAAATCATAGGACAACCTTGGATCCCAGTCCCCACCTTCCACCTTGTTTAAGACAGGGTGTCTCTCTTTTATATATTTACTGTGTGTGTGTGTGTGTGTGTTTCTGTGTGTGCACACATTGGTGTTTACATCAGGGGACAACTTGCAGGAGTTGGTCCCCTCCTTCCAACGTATGAGCTCCAGGGACTGAGCTCAGGTAGTCAGGCTAGGTGGCAAGGACCTCTACCAGCTGAGCCATCTCACCGGCTCTCTCTCGCTTGGTTTGCAGTCGCGTATACCAGGCTAGCTGGCCCACAAGGTTTGGGAGACTCTTCTGTTTTCATTTCCCATCTCACTAGAGGAGCAATGGGGTTACAGCTATGTGCTACCGTACCTGACTTACAGCAGGAGTGCCTGGACACAAATCCTGCGTTTACACAGCGCTGCCCGAGGTCGCACAGTAGGCACTTTACCAAATGAGGCATTCATTACCCGTGAATGTTTCCAGACGATGCTGCTGGCTTTCAAAGTCAGCCAGGCACGGCATGTTTCTCTAAAGCCAGGTCCTCACTGTCCCCCTGAATACCACTACACAACGCAACATACCCGGCAAGCTCTAGTTTGGAGTTGCTGAAGCCTCCCTGTGTCAATTCTTCCTACAACGCTTTGTCATTTTGCACCTATCCCTCCTCCCTGGCCCTGGTAGGGCACCTCCTGTCTACCTGTCCAGGTCTCTGCTTCCTCTGGGTTCCCATCCAGAGTGCCACAGCTTCCTATCCCAATCCCCTAAGCCAGAACCCTTAAGTTAGACACTACATAAACCCCGTGCAGCAGCTACATTTTGCATCGTGTCTTTCTGTCCCACGACACCTGTGTTCAGTGATGTTTCTCATTTTTATCTTTTTCTAGGTTTCTTTGTTTTGTTTTTTAAGAGAGAGTCTCGTGTTGCCCAGACTGTGCTAATGAACAATGAAGTTGTGGATAATATACAATATTTTCTTCTGATAACTGATGTTAGAAATAGAAATATTAAATAGGATTTTTATCACATAGTATATAATAAAATATAGTTTTATTACATAATTTTATTGCATAATAATTATTACAATACATTCCATGTAATATTTGTGTATGTGTATATATATATACACATACATATATATATGTATGTGTATATATATATATATATACATACATACATACATATATGTATCTATTAAAAGGTGTTAGCCAGCTTTGGTGCTTCATACCTTCATTTCCAACACTTGAAAGGCTGAGGCAAGCGGTCACTGTGAGTGTGAGGCCAGCCTGTGCTACATAGAAACAATGGTTGTTTATCTCAACTTTACCTGGGCATGCCCTGTTTTTAATCGCTAAACACAGCAACCCTGCCCTTCTGTCAGATAAAAAGTCTTTGGTCTTCTTGAGGCAGAGGAGCAGTTCCATCTAGACCCAGTGGGTGGCTCAGAATCAAGATAGTTTTAGGGCTGAAGGCTTCACAAGAGGTGGGAGATGACAAGGAGGCCACGAAGAGAGCTCAGGTGGGCCTGGGGAATGTAACTCGGTAGAGCAGTTTGTCTAGTATACATGAGGTCCTGGGTTCCAGTCCCAGGACTGTTTAAACTACATCATGGCACATAAACATCTGTAATCCCAGCACTCAGGAGGGATTACAGATCAGAGGCAGGAGGATCAGAAGTTCAAGGTCCTCCTTGACTACATAGTGAGTTGGAGGCTAGTCTGAGCCCAAGCAAACAGTATCCTGGGACCAAGGAGGCCGTTGTTGGTCAGCTCCTAGATATCCCAGCAGAGCATCCTTGCAAAGGGAGCCATCTTCTCTTGGTGTCTGTCACTGAAAGATGGCTGGGGACCCACGTCTATATCCAAGCACATAAATCAAAGTGTGCAGCACTCACTCTGCAGGTGATCAGGAGGGGCAGTGAGCAGGCCAGGGGGAAGGGACACTGGGCTTCCATCCAGCCGCAGCCCTACCTGTATTGACTTTAAAGCCATTAAGGTAAAGGAAAGGAGGAAGGGATCCCAAGAAGTCCTGTGTGCATGTGGGGGTGGGGTATGACTGGGGAGCGATGTGGCCTAGACCTTTATTCCTGAGGCCTCCCTGTGGGACAAACTGCCTGTGCCGTCAAAAAGGGGTGTCCATGAAGGGGGCAAACATCCAGGGGCAGTTTTTACTAACCTCTCTTCTCTCTCTCTCTCTCTCTCTCTCTCTCTCTCTCTCTCTCTCTCTCTCAGCATGGTGGCAAAGCCTTTAATCTCAGCATTCAGGAGGGAGAGGCAGGGCAATCTCTGTAAATTCAAGGTCTGCCTCATCTACAAAGAGGAATTCCAGGGCAGCCAGGACTACATAGTAAGACTCTGTCTCAAAACAAAACGAAAACAAAAAGACTCTTTTCAAAGTGAGGCGCACATACCGTCAACTAATTGATGGAGCCTTCACACCACCTCCCAGGCCATAATTGTGTTTATATCTGCTGATCATCTTCCTAGTTCTCAGCTGACCCATACAATACAGTGGGTAGAGTTACTGTAACACTGATTGTGCCTACGGGGAAATCAAGGCCCAGAGAAACCAAGTAACTTGTGCAGAGATATTCAGCTAAGAAGAGAGATAGCTGGCATCACCTAGCCTTACCCAAGACAAGGCAATTCCCATACTATCCCAATGGGCATCGTTTAGACCATTTGTTGATACACAAGGGGATGAGGTGATTCCAGCGTCAGGGCAGCAGGTATGATGAAGACTGTAGATTCTGAGATGAGGCAGCAAGTTAAAGGAGAAAAGGTGATGCTTGCACCTGTGAGAATCCTCGAACGCTAAAGGTGCTTGCTGCCACGACTGATGACCTGAGTGCAGTCCCTGAGACCATAGGGTAGAAGGAGAGAACTCCTACAAGTTGTCTTCTGACCTTGGTGAGTTCGTGTGTGCATGCACACATGCACGCATAAACACACACACACACACACACACACACCGAGACATGCACATACCCACACACATATACAAAGTCATATATATATATATAAGTAAATGTAAAAAACAAAACAAAAATTCAAGCTCCCCAATTAACACCTATCCCTCAGGGTCATCAATTGGTGAGAAGAAAACAGAGGGCCAAGGAAGAGGCTGCTATCTGCTCAGCACACAGGAAGTTGGACCTCTCCTTCCTGCCTGAAAAGACACTGAACCACCCAAGATTTGCTTTCAGGTCTCTGCATTACCCAAAACGCAGAGCCCATTAGTACCTCAGTGACGATGGAGGAGCCAGGAGTGTCGTACACCCAGCCATGCTGGCAGGGGCTCAGAAGCAAGCGGCTCCTGTTGGCAGTCAGGCTGGACAGGGGGTCCACACAGTCAAGGGTGCTCTGGTTCCAGTCCACCTCATACTGCATGCACTGGCTGAGGAAGGAGGCGTCGTCCGCAGACCCCAGGCCCGGCACTGTGTAGTTGAGCTCCTCTGCCAGACTCCAGCCACATCGCTGGCTCAGCTCGGCCACCCCGGGACTCCAGCAGCGGTGCTCAGGGGTGAAGCCCAGGAAGACGATGCCCACGTAGATGGGAGCTAAAGAAGCTGAGATCAGGCATAGCAACAGGAAGGCTTGTTTCTGGAACCAGCCAAACTCCCCAACCTGCTCCAGGACATCATCCACGGTGGGCATGGCTGGGTCGTGCCCTCACCCGTTTAGCCAGACCTGCTGTGGACTGCCACCAGGGCTTCATACGGTGCCTCATTTAAAGCTCTCGGAACTGTGGCAGCTTGAAATCAAGTTGCTGCCCAAGCATGATACCTCTGGAAGGCAACCAACCAGGAATAACCTTTTGTCCCATGATACCAGTGTGAGGGCCGGGGCAGGGATACACCAGGCTTACCTGAACCCTTGTTTACTTTTCTGGGAAGTGAGCCAAGGCCTGGCCTGGGAGGAGGAAGCAAGCAAACAGGCTTGAGCACCCCTCCTACCCCCCGTACTTCTCAGGATCTTCTGAAGAGCATTTCTAATACTGAGTCTTCTGCCGGATAGGTATGTCAGCCGGTAGACTATGGAGCCCTGGGTTCAATCCCTGACAGCCCATAAACCAGACATGGCAGTGCACACCTATAATCACAGCAGCGAGGTCTGAGGTCTCTTTGTGACCCCTTCAGTCCTGGAGCTCCACTACCGCACCTTCCCCCATGGCTTCTCCTGGCCTCTCACAGTGCCAAGCCTCAGCTGCTCTCCTCGACCTCTCCACGCCTTCAAAACCAGCACCACCTGCGTGACTCTTACATCACCAAGTTCAGCTGCCAGCCTGAGGTACAACCTTGGCCGCCTCTATAACACAAACTCTTCTGCCCTGACTCTGAGTAAACATATCCCAGAAGATTTCACCTCAATGATTCTGATCTTTTTTTCTCCAAGTCAGGATTTCTCTGTGTAGCCTTGGCTGTCCTAGACTTGCTTTGTAGACCCAGCTGGCCTCTAACTCACAGAGATCCACCTGCCTCTGCCTCCCTAAGTGCTGGAATTACAGGTGTGCGCTACCACACCTGGCTTCTGGTCTCTTCTTAATCACCACTAATTTCCCAGCTCCAGCTGACCAGCATCTCGTAATCCCAGCAAAGCAAAGGTTTCACTTTAGTGGTTCTGTGTTCTTGTTAATCCCAGCCAGTTCTTCACCCCATCTGACCAGAACCACAGATTATTAACTCAAATGGTCCAGTAGTGTCTTTGCTTCCCTCTGAAACCTCACAAGCCGGGCCTGCGTCGTCTGCACTGTTCTCAACCTTCTTAGCTTCCAAGCACCTACAGAACAGCCCACTGAGCTCTCGGCCCTCAATGGCTTTTCTAGCTCAAAGTTCCAAAGCCCTGCCCCAGTCCTCCCCAAAGCACGGACAGGTCTGTCCCAGCCATCTCCTATTATCCTGGCACCAACTTGTATCAGGTTTGCTATTGCTGCGAAGAGACACCATCACCGAAAGAAAGCCGGGGAGAAAAGGGTTAATTTGCCTTATGCTTCCACATCCATCCATAGTGCAGCACTGAAGGAAGTCAGGACAGGAACTCAAACAGGGCAGGAACCTAGAGGCAGGAGCTGATGCAGAAGCCATAGAGGAGTGCTGCTTACTGGCTTGCTCCACATAGCTTGCTCAGCCTGCTGTTTTAGAGAACCCAGGACCAGTAACCTGGAGTGGCCTCACCCACAATGAACTGAGCCCTCCGACATCAGTCATTAATTAAGTAAATGGCCCAGACTTGCCTGCAGCTCGGTATCATGGGGGTGTTCGTCTCAGTTAAGGCTCCCTCCTCTCCGATGACTCTAGCTTGTGTCAAATTGACACAAAACTATCCAGCACACAATGCTAAAATTTACCAGACCGAAAGACTAACTAAACCTTAGGGCTGAGGATGTGCCTCAGCTGGTAAAGGGCCAGCAGAGGATGAATGGAGTCATGGGTTCAATCCCCAGTGTCTCACAAACTAAGGGTGGTAATTCCAGAACTGAGGAGGTGGAGGAAAGGATGGCTGGAGATTCAAGGTCATCGTCCATCACACAGTGCTTTTGAGGCCAGCCTGAGGTAAATAAGACTGTTGTTTAAAAGACAGAAAATCCCAACTGTTCTATTTTACCAATAAAGTCTCAGGAGCCAGAGGCTGGGTCTCCTGTGAAAGCCTGCTAGCTCAGAGAGGCAGAGAAAGTAACCAACTAACCTTCCTTCTCAGCTCAGACCTGGATGGAAAAAGCTCAAAAGTCTCACTAGCTCAGCTGAAAGCCCAAGAGCAAAAGGCAAACAAACCAAGGCCAAAGGCTTGCTAGTTCAAAGCCCAAACAGTCAGGGGAGCTGAGGAGCTGAAGCCTGAGCTGAAGCCTAAGCTAAAGCCAGAGCTTGAGTTTTTGTTTTTGCTTTCATCCAATATTTTTCACTATGCCCCTTTCTCCCCAGTGAATATCCATGTATATCCGCCATTGTCTGTTAGAAGTACATGATTTGTTGTTGTTTCCTTTTATAGAGGATCCTTATGAAGAAATTGCCTTAAGTCTCAGAAGAGACTTTGGGCTTTTGAAGTGTGAAGTCTTGAAGTTGGATTACAAGCATTTTTGCATTATGATATGACCACAAACCCCTGGGTGACAGAGGCTAAATGTGTGGGCTTAAGTGAGAAGTATCTGCAACAGGGGCAAAGAGTTAAACACTTGGTTCCCTGGCAGTGGTTCTGTTGGGGAAATTATGGAACCTTTGATGGGTAGAGCCTTGCTGGGAAAGAATGTCACTGAGGGCAGGTTTTGAGGGGTCTATAGTCTCACCCCACTTTCTGTGTTTGCACATGTTCTCTCCCCCCCCCCAAAAAAAAGCCACAGTGCTTTACATGTCATGAAGAACAACTGTAAGCCAAGATAAGCTCTGTCTCCCTTCAGTTGTTTTGGTCATGGTGTTTTATCACAGCAGCAGGTAAGTAATCCAGCCCACACACATGTGCACGGGAATGCGCTCGGTGAGTCCCTGTGTTTCCAAGGTCCTTTGCTCCGTGGAACTTAAGAGTTGGTCCCTCGTGCCCAGGTATTCACTGGCAGGTCTACTCAGAGCATTCTCCACACAGGACAATGCCAAGGCTCCTCCCTCCCCACCAGCTTTCTTCCTCTTTGTAAGAGCGCAACCTATGGGACTTTGCTGGAAGCAATGAGCACATGCTGAAAGAATAAAGGCAGAAGAGTAGGAGGGTAGGCTTGAAAGATGGGGTGGGAGGGAGGGAAGGACAGCATATGCAAGTCCGAACCCAAAGAAAGGTCAAATCGCAAGACTCCTTCCTGAGAGGGACCCATTCTCTGATCAAGTCCCAGGTTAACCCCACACTGTAGATGAGAATCCAAAGCCAGAAGGGTAGGTGTTCTTCTGCCAAAACTCAGGTTGAATTTTAACTGTTAAGGGAATGGTATTGAGGCGTGGCAGAACCTTTAACAGACCCTGGCTAATGGTGCTCCGCCCTTGTGAAGAGATTAAGGCTGTGCCCCTTCACAGTTTCTCATGCTTTGGTGACCTCCAACCATAAATGATTGTCGAATGCTACTTCCTCATTGTAATTTTGCTGCTGTAGTGTAAGTATCTGTTTTCCAATGGGCTTTAGGCGATCCCTATAGAAGGGTCATTTGCTCCCCAGGTTGAGAACTGGAAGATTAAGGTCCTTCCCAAGAGATAGGCTTAATTACAAGAATAACCTATTATGCAGTATCGAGTATGCTTTGCCCTCTTTCACATGTACCCACTGGCCCTCCTTATTTCCGGCACAGGTGAGCTGCATGATGCCACGCCAGCTCCACATTCTTGGACTGTTCAGCCTCTACTGTGAGCCCAAATTAACCTGTTTCCTTTGCACATGACTAGTCTCCAGTGTTTTGCTACACACAGTCTATGATCACAGGTCACCTGGCCTGAGTCATGTCATGTCTCAACAAATCAATTCACTCACTGCCCAGACACCAGTGATCCATTTCCCAAAACTCCCCATGTATCATCTCAACACACCTCATGTCCAACTAAACAAATTCCACGTGGTTGCTTGCCCCATTGTAGTAAAGTGGATCCCAGGTGCTGGTACCTAGAGCCAAGAAAGGTGTGTGTGTGTGAAGCAACTACAGGAACAGGGATTGAGGCTGGTTTCCACTGCAAAGGGAAAAGCCAGGTTAGATGGCAAGCTTGAATCCTATGAAATACTGGCTTCCCAGGGTCTTCTTTGTGTGAACCAGAGAATCCAGGTGACCTTCCCAGTGTCCATCAGTAAAATGGGCCTGGCCAAGTCTTGCCAAAAGAGCCGGTGGTAGGGTTTGGGGAACACTATGACTCAGGAGAAAAGCTGCTGACCCGCGGGCTTATGGGGCACCCAGTTGTTCCTAGGATGAGCAGTTACTACCTGGAGCAGTTTCCCTTTGTCCTGCCATTTCCCTCCATCTTTGTTGTTGCTGCTGCTGTGGGTTTTGAGAGTTCCTCTTCTCATCTCACTCAGATTCTATTGACCCCAGCATGCACCTTAAAGCCAGGTGTGTTATCAGCTACTTGTAGTCCCATTGCTGGGAAGGTGCCAACGAAAGGATTCTTGGGGCTTGCTGGTGAGCCCCAATTCACAGAGATGCACTGTCTATGAATAAATAAAATCAGTAAGCTGGAGAGTGATAGAGGAGACGCCCACCGTTGACCTCTGGTAGAGGAAATACACTTGTGTACATGGGTTCAACAAAAACTAGAAATTAGGGGTGGTGATGCATGTCTGTCATCTAGCATGTGGGGCTTAGGAATGGGGTTCAGAAGTTCTAGGTGAACGTCAGTTACATTCAGAGCAAGTTTGAAGAGAGTCTGGGTTACACTTAGACTATCTCAAAACTGAAACAGGATTTCCAGAAAGTCGTGTCCTCCATGCCACCTTTGCAACTGGCTCTGAGGGCTGTATTCCCATGGGGGCAGAAGGGACCAATAATTAGGCTGTGGGATCTTGACCATAATCTGCAGGTATTCTAACAGGCTGGCTGTAGCCCTTCCAAGGGCTTGGCTGTGTGTGGTGGTTGAAGGCAGCTGGAGCTTCGGGTGCTATGCCCTGTGCCTGGTAACAGCCTCATTTCCACTCCTCCTGGGCAAAGGTTTGCACCATCCTCAGTTCCCCACTCATTCCATCTAAGCATCCAACACTAACAAAGAGGAATGGAAAGCCTTGCTCAAAGCAAAAAGAAAATATGAGAACAGGACTCTGATCAATGAAATCCTTTCTGTGAAAAGATTGTGAATTCTCCCATTTGCTGCCAGGCAGGTTTTGCTAAAAGATCCTATACCAACAGCTTGCCAAGGTCACTGAT